GGGGGGGTGGCACCCAGCACCTGGCAGCAGAGGAAGGGGGAGGGCACATCTGGGCCTTGTCTTCCTCTGCTCTTTCGACACATGATTTCCTGGAAAGGGGAGGGAACTGGGGCAGCGCGGGAACTGGACTGGATGCTCACGGGAGCACAGATCGCAGAGGGCAAAGGAGCGGGCACCTTCCCCTTGCAGCAAAAGGCTGCTGGTCCCCCAGGTTTTCAGTTCTGGGCGGCGGGCGGTTGGAGCACCTGGCCCCCGCGGTGCGGAGCAGGGACACATGGACAAGCGGCAGAAGATCTGTTATTGGGGCAGCGGCAGCGCGGGAACTGGACTGGATGCTCACGGGAGCACAGATCGCAGAGGGCAAAGGAGCGGGCACCTTCCCCTTGCAGCAAAAGGCTGCTGGTCCCCCAGGTTTTCAGTTCTGGGCGGCGGGCGGTTGGAGCACCTGGCCCCCGCGGTGCGGAGCAGGGACACATGGACAAGCGGCAGAAGATCTGTTATTGGGGCAGCCTCTGCGCCAGCGTGGTGCTGCTTGTGGCATTCATCACCTGCTTGGTAGTCCATATCCACTCAGACCCTGTCCAGGAGCGGGACCAGTGCCGGAAGCAGCTGAAGAACGAGACCTCGGCCCTGGAGGGGCAAGTAGCCCGCGCGTGGGCGGAGGGCACGGTGCTGCAGGCTGCACTGGCCAAGGCCAACCAGACCCTCCGGGAGACACGTAGGGGCTGGGAGTCCTGCCAGGCCCTGATGGTAAGTGCGGGCGGGGGCTGGGGGCAGGGGCTGCGGTGTTGGGGCCTGCACACGGTCACGGGGCCTGTCTGGTCTGCGCTTTGTGGGCAGGGGCAATGACCCCCTCCCTCCGTCCACAGGACAGGCTGCAGAACAACCTCACGGCCCTGCAGGCTGAATTCACCCAGCTGGAAGCCAGGGGCTCAAATCAGATGCAGGCACAGCAGGACCTGCGAGGTGAGTGTGAGGCAGCCCCATGCCTGGTGCTGGGCAGCCGGGGGATGAGCCCTCTCTGCGAGGGCCGTGGGATGCAGGGACCCCAACCTGCCTCTCTCTCTTTCCCAGACCACATCAGCAAGCTCCAAGGGCAGCTTTCCAGCAAGGACCAGCAGCTCCAGGACACCCAGTCCCAGCTCCAGGACACCCAGTCCCAGCTCCAGGACACCCAGTCCCAGCTCCAGGACACCCAGTCCCAGCTCCAGAACACCCAGTCCCAGCTCCAGGACACCCAGTCCCAGCTCCAGGACACCCAGCAGCAAAGGTGAGGCCCTCCCAGACTGCTGGGCCCCTGACCTGCCTCCCCCTGAGCTCTCTGCTCACTGCCTTCCCCCTCCCTTGCTCCCCCAGGGACCGGCTCCAAGCACAGCTGAAGGAGCAGCTCCAAAACCAGTCGACTGGCTCCGGTGGGGTCCTCCCCGAGCTCTGCAGGTTCATCAGCCTGTTGGCTCTGCTCCTCATCACACTCCTCCTCTGAGAGCAGCAGCAGCAGTGCCAGGTACGGGGAAGCCTAGACAGACTCAGACAGGACATGGCCTGTCTCTGGGCCCCCCCCTTCACTCGCCAAGCCTGGCATCTGCCCCAGACACCCTGTGTCTGTCTGCCCCCCTCCCTGCTGGCTCTGCCTGTTCCACACCCCTGCCGTGCCGTGCAGCCTGCCCATCTCTACTACTAGATCAATGCTGCAGCCCTCCCAGGTCCCTGCTAAATCAGGGCCCTTCTGCACCAGTCGCTGCCTGTGGCCACAGTGAGCCCTGTCTCTAGTGGGTTATGGAATAGAGAAGATCCCACACAACTTACTGATTCGTTTGATGCACTGGCTGGGGGAGTATTTAGTTGATTGCACGATTTCACAATGATTGCACACTTAATTCATACAACACAATTTTATTTTAAATTTTTTTTGCTACACATATAACGCTGCTTAGCTTTAAGAAATACCACAAACATTAAGAACACAATAACTACATATATCAGAAACAATGCTTCAAATGCACTTCTTTAAAACAATTACAATTACAACTAACTATATAATTTTAACCAGGAAAGTTATTACTATATTATACTTACGATCCTAGAATTCCAAGAAGCCAAACACTTAAATATGCTTTCATTCCTCAGTAATACAATTTAATGGGTTGACTGGCTAATGGGCATTTATTATAAGAATTCAAACCATTACATTCAATATGACAAGCCCCAGCCACTGCAGAGGGAGGAGCAGGTCTCGAGGCATGGGTGACTCTCCCCAGCAGGATGTGGCTGAGGCAGGATGCGAGCCCAACACTGCAGAGTCCTGGCTCTGCTCAGAAACCGCACGGCACCAGCAGGTCGCACCCCTGCCCGCACCGCACCTGCCACTCTCTCTCCGCTCCCGTCTTGCTCAGTATGGCAGTTCTGGGGTGGGGGTGGGCACAGGGTGCTCTCTCCCCTGTGACCGCCTGCATTTGTGTTCCAGGGCTGGACCGGTAACCGGAGCATGGAGCATCCCTAGGAGCCCTGCCAGTGCCCACCCCAGCTCCACCCAGGGGCACTGCTCCCTGCTGCTAGCTTGCTGCAAGCTTGGCCATCCCTGGGGGTCCCATGTGCATCCCAGCCCAGCCCAGGGGAAGGGCTTTGCTCTCTGCTGCTCAGCGCTTCAATTAGGAGGGGTCTTGGCTATAAGGGACCAGCGGCAGAAAGGTGCAAGAGGTTGGAGCTGCCGCAAAGAGCCGCCCCCTCCCCCCGTGAGGAGAGCATGGACTCCTGGCTGGGGGGCTCACAGCTGTTGACGGGGACTGGGGGTGTAGGACAGAGCAGGCAGGGAAACCAATGCGCTGCAGAAGCACCTTTGCCCAGAGGTCCCTTTCCATCCTGCCCTCTGGGAGCCAAGGAGACTGGATGGGCCCCTGCTTTGGGCCTGGGGCTGGAGCTTCACACTCACAGCTTCACACTTGCTCTAAGCAAGGCAGAGCTTGAGCAGGGGGCTACCGAGAGCCTGAGCCCCCAGAACGGCCCCACCTCATCTGCCTGAGACCTGCTGCCAGGCACAGAGGGGCTGTGCCCTGCAAAGAGGGGAGGGGGAGGGCATGGGGGCTGGGCAAATAGAGGAGGGGGGGCGTGATGGGTTAATTGCTGCAGTTTGGCCCTGCTTGGTGATAAGGGGGTCATGAAGGCTTGGAAGAGCCCCAGGGAGGTTGGGTGGCAGCAGCTGTGGGGAGCATCCAAAGGGGGAACAGTGCCCCCAGGAACAGCCAGCCTGGGGGGCTCGGGGGCAGCCAGCTCCCATGCCCAGGGCTCACTGGGGCATGCGCTTTGCACCAGCGTGGTGCCTCTGCTTGATGCAATAAATGCTACTGAACACCAAAGCTGGTGCAGGTCTGGTTTGTTCTTTCTGTCGCCGCCTCATCAGAGGGGGGGCAGGCGCAGGCGAGGACCCCTCCCCTCTCCCCGTCTGGATCTGCCTCCCCTCTGGGGCTGCAGGCTGGGGGGAGGCTGGCCCCACTGGCACTCAACACCCAGCAGGGACGTTTTGGGAGGGGCAGGGGATTCCCTGGGACCCTGCCCCATAGGAGCTGCCTGCCTGCCTTGCTGTTGCCCATGGTGGCTCCCGGTCGGGATTGGACCCTGGGTGCTGGACACGGTGGGCACAGAGTGGGCAGCAAACCCTGTCCCGTGGCGCTTGCAGTCCTGCCCCGTGGGCAACACAGGAACAAGCAAAGCACCAGGACTCAACCTGGGGCTGCCCCATGGCCCAGCGCAGCCTCGTGCTGCTTGGACGAAGAAGATAAACTGCAGAATCATCTGGTTTGCGACCAAATCCCGCCTGTGCTCTTTTTGTCAAAGGGAAATCCAGCCTTACAGCAAGGGGTAGTGGCTGATATGCTAATGAGCAGCCCTATGTTAATGAGCAGCAAGATTAAAAGTAGAAGAGGTTTTGGCTGGGCTGCACCAGACTCCCGGCTGCATCTCGGGGGACAGCAGCGAGGCGACAGCCCCCGGGACGATGGGCAAGGAGGTGTCGCAAGCCCCCAAGAGGAAACGCCCGTGGATTTGTGCATGCGTGATTCTCTTCCTGATTGTGTTGGGGCTGGGAGCTGCTCTGATCTATGTGACCTTCTTCATGCTAGCCAAGTGTCAGGCGGCAGAGGACAGGGTGAAGTCGGAGCTGGCCGACTGCAGAAACCAGACGGTAGGTGCCTCTCCTCATACTTCCCGGCTGCCTCCGTGTCCACCTCAAGAGCTGGCTGCCAGCAGCCGTCAGCCCCGCAGTGCACCTCACCCCCCCCCCCCGCCCCCGCCCCCCGCCCCGGCCCCCCCCC